GACTTTCAGACTTACATTAATTTTTCCCATAATTCCATTGGTTTGGGAGCTATTTACCGGTAGCATTGAATTTTCAAAAATGTTGACAAGGGTGCGTATCAACGAGCGTCACGCCTATAGGTCAATGCACCGACTGAGAAAAAAAAAACGGGGTTCAAGCTGAGATTATATGTGACCTAAATTCAAGAGATGGAGACACAGGTTCTTGCGGTCTAGGGGGAGAAGCGGTAAGGGTGACCTTTAATTATGCCGCGTCGGGTCGGGACTAACACGTACACGCTGGTGGTACTAATTATCTGCAATTAGTGAAAGTGTAAGTCATTTACTTTACAACATATTGATGAAATTCAGATAAGCAGGTCACCAATTAATTGAATTTCATATAAATCGAATGTCCTTCCTATAGCGGCATCCAAAGGCTAAATGAAATAAATGTTTTACTATGTGTTTCCATTGTTAGGTCCAGTATGAAAAGTTTTTTCTAATAGTTGACAAATCGATTTGACTAAGGTCAGTGACTTTAAAAGATTGTCAAGGCCAAGGATAAATTATTTTGATAAGTCTTTCGAGTAACGATTTTATAGAGAAAGGTATTGGTCAAACACTCTGAAAATGTTTACTTACTCGTACGTTTTGTAATTAATTTGCCAATTTATCTACCTGATTTTAATTGTGTTTATCTCGTAATTGTCTCGTATTCTTTCACAACATTTTTCTGCAGTTAAATGGCACACGCTTAGTGCACGTGTAAGCAATTTACACAATAATAATTAACTTTTTTTTGTTTTTTTTTTTTTTCTGGAGGGGGGGGGGGGGGTCGACACATTTTCTCAAATACACTATGGTATACCATATCCAAGACAGTTTCCAGAATTTTGGAGTTCTAAGTTGAACGATTCTCAAATTTAAACGTTACGTTTAGACATCGAAAACGGTTTAACAAATCATTTATTATGAGCGATTTTGAGGAAAGTATACCTTGTTGATAAAGGAAAGTTGCTGAAGTTTTTAGGAAAATATTTTTTCTATACGTAGAGCTAAGAGTAATTTGTATTCAATTATAACATTTTAAGGACGAATTTGACATGCTACACTTTTTGGCCCATTATAAGAACAGCAGAGAATGACGAAAGTTTCATACCTAAAACAAACAACACACAAACAAAAAAAGACATGCAAACAAATAAAATCCATATAATTGTTCAGAAGACTCTACATGGGTAAAATGAACAGAATACGATGAATAAAGTCAATAAATGAATAGGTAATAAAAATATTAAGATATTAAGATGTTAAATAAAATGTAAATAAATTTATGTAAGATTTTAAGATATTAAAATAAATAGTACAATATAAAAGACAACAGCCAGTCAAATTAATTATAAAACATTTTGAAGATATAAGTTTTAAATTCTTTTTTAAAATTGGGAGGGGGGTTCAACACAAGGTAAAATGAAATAAAAAATAAACACACACAAATAAGATCCACTTACGAAAATGAATCGAAATAACCTAAAACTATTTGGGAAGTTTGACATTTTGCATTGAGCGGGACCTTCTTCCCGTCCTTGGGGTTCCAGGCTGATGCCGGTACATGTAAAAATGGGAGTACATGTACATGTACAAATATATATACAAGACCCTCTTTGGAATTAGAGCAAATATATACAAGACACTCTTTGGAATTTTGAGCAGAGGGTGAGCGACGCCTTACAAACACCCAGACCAAGGTCCGCCCCTGAAGCGGCCGCATCGTGCGTTTCAGCTTCTTGATCTTCAACCCAGCCTTCCTGGTCTTTATCGGCACCTCCAATGTAGTAAAATCGGGAAAAGATGAATTGAAATATCCTCTGTTATTGAGAAAGTTGTTATAATAAAAACGGCAAAAAATCTCTTGTAATGTAATAAAGTTTTTTTTTCTTTCATATATATTGTGATAAACGCTCAGTCCCCAATTAACCTGTTTTTCAAGTGTATTTACGGCTCGGTGCTTCGGTGAGTAGTTTTTGTGTGCATTAGCGGGCTATAATGCACCACGTTTAAGTCTTAATTTTGTTCTCCAGTTCCACCGTGATCCAAATTATAACAAAAATGATCGAAGGATCAATAATTGAGAACCAAGGCCCATTACTTTGGAATAACAACTGCAAAGTTATGAATAAAAACATCTCGACATAGTGATATTTGATTTTTATATAAGTCAATAATCAGGGGCAGATTTAGGGGGTCAGGGGAGTCCTGACCCCCCCTTTGATTTCTGAAAAAAATCACACCAATGGCCCCCTCTTGATATTAGAATTTTGACGAGGTGTATCATAGTTCTTAACCGTACCAAATGGCTCCGCTCGCCCTCTAAAATACCAATTTTTTCATGGTTTCTTCAGATGTCCACGAACCCCACGCCAAGGAGGTGGGAGTAGGATCGGCTTCACTTTCGCGGACCCCCCTCCCCCTTCAAGTAATCCTGGATCCGTCCCTGAATAATACCTCTTAAACATGTGCGTCATTCTTTCACAAAGTAGGCCTACTATAACGAATCCCTGTATCGACCCCAAATTCATTTTACGAATCCGTATCCAAAAAAATGTTACTTTTAGCATTTGGTAAACATCTTGAGGGGACTGTGAAAATAAAATAAATAATTCAAGGTTATTAAGATTAGCCTCAGTTTATTTTTTTAAAAAATATCCGATGACGATATTTAAAGGGTTGCGTGGTCAGCGGAGGAGCAGAACATGGACGAAAAGACCAAAGGCAACATGAAAGTGTTCAAGATGCTGTTGTTTGTGGTCTGTGTAATCACCACCAATGCCCTTCAAGTGTCTGGCGCAGAAAGTAAGTCTAATGGCTTTCAGTATTTTTTGCAGCTAAAAAATTCAGCTGCTCATCGAATAGCAGGTTGAATTTCTGTTTCACCGGGCGAGCGACTACTTGGAGAACATGCTTTTGCCTTCTCTCAGTTCTTAAAAGCTGGGCCAAATACTTCCATATCTTTATATAGTTAATTTAATCAATGGATCTTACAGTCTTTCTCTTGAGGCACTAATGGCAAAATTCACAAATTAGAATTTAGAATGTGTAAGTACCTTTACATATGTTTCACACCTTAGAAGTTCAAATTTTACTGCTGTTGTTTTAAGCCTGGTAATCTTTTAAGATACATTATAAAGAGTCCATGTGTGTGTCCAAATGCTTTCAAGTAATTTCATGTTATCCAATCAGTTTATAATTGTTCTGACATCCATTTTAATAGATGAAGTTAAACATAAAAAACTCTGAAAAGCAATACTGAAAAAAGGGGAAGGTTGGATTGAAGCTCTTCATTAATAGACCTTTATTGTACCATGTATAATTAATATTGTTTAGTAAAATGTATTCTGTTCGTGTTACAACATGGATTCGTGTCGTTCTTTTCCTTGTGCAGACCTTAACAATTTTAAGACAGAACATGGGAATCTCCGTAGCAGTTTTAAATATCGCATTGTGACAAAAAATATGATAATCTGAATAGAGCAGTTAGTTTTTTTTTAGCGACTTTAGTTTGCTTGTCACTGAATATTAAAAAAGAGGGGGGATACACCCAATGGCAATAAAATAAGCATACAATTAAATATTTGCCATTCGTGGTCTAAATATTGTATCACACTATCATGGGATCACAATACATTTTTCAGTTAGCAACAGGAAACCCCGTATTTCTAATTGCACCAAGTACTTGGGCAAGCAAAAACTTTCTGACCATTATATCATGGGGAACATACGTTACGTAGTATTAGCCATGACGCAAAGCATAGCATAGATGAGAGAAGTTATATGATACAAATGCTTTTTAATCATCGTGATAAGAATCAACACATTGGCGGAACTAATAATTTTTTTGATGTTTCAAAGAAGATGAGTATAATTTTGTTTACATAGGTTGACAGTAATTTGGCAAAACAAGTAGGTTTTTAGAGTGGGCCTCCCGGTGATCATGGTGTCCCATTGGCCAAAGAACGCAGCTTTTAGTTTATTCCATTAAGGTTTGGATTAAAACAGCGTTTTAGGGATCATCCCCACATATATTTGGATCGATCTATCTCCCTGGAGAGTCTCACTAAATTGCTATCAAACTAACTGGCTTAAACGTCTGTCACGCCTTGTAAAACTGTTAGGGGGTAATTATCTTTACCCCTAGCTGATTCGGTAGGCGTGACAGACATTTAAGCCTCTTGAGCTGATAGCAATTTAGCGTGAACCCCCAGGGAGGTAGGTCGATCCAGATAGATGGATGGATCTAAGTATGGAAACCCAGTCTTATTCGTCGAAGATCAAAGCGGCTTGAAACTCCGAAACATTTTCTTATTGGTCAAGTTAACATTAGGCCACGTCAGTGACGCACACATTTCGTGTAATATTAGCATAACTAAAATTTTCCATATTGGTGGGCATTATAGTATAAAACAGCGACCAAAACGGGACATGTAATAATTGAACAAGTATTACCCAAACTTTGTGTACACCAAACGTTCACTTTTCTGTGAAATGACTCAACTATAATTATAAGGGCAGAAAATTTCTAACATTTCACGCTTTCATCTTTAACTGCGAAGTTTGAGCTCATTCCCAAACAATATATCGGTCTATGTATATCGATACAACTCCGCGGGACAAACAAACAAATTGACATATCTTCTCCTGGTGTTGAGTAGAACGAGTACGTTGGAACTAAGAGGAGGTATGTTTATCTGTTAAGCTGATTGCATTCAGCGAGAGTCCCAACGGAGTTGGATCGACTTACTTAGACCGATAGATTTATTGGGAATGAGCCCTTAATTACTCACCACGCTTACATTTTTTCCTTAAACATTTCCAACAGCTTTTACTTGCGACTTTGAGACAGACATCTGCAATCTGTCAGACGCCACCGATGACGATGGCGATTACTGGGTTCGTTGGAGAGGAAGCACGCCGACACCGGGAACTGGACCCAGTGTGGATCATACACTTGGGACCGCGTTAGGATACTACTACTATTTTGAAAGCAGCAATGCGGTAAGAGGAGTGTGCATGTGTCCATCTGCAACATTCATCACATTAACAATGAACATTCTGTTTAGCTTTATCAATGATTTTACCTTCATTCAGTAATTGTTGTGTCTGAAATTTCATTTGATATAGAAGTATAGTTGGATTTCGATGCAAAATTGCCCCCATTGCTATTGAATAATCTCTTACAGTTAGACAGATGAGCTTTTTGTAACATATTAGATTTGAATTTCGACTGTAACATTTCTGATACTGCTTCGCCTTATCACCATTTAATAATCGCTTTTGAAAATGCTGGTGTTTCTTTAAACAAAATGATACATTTTACGTGTTTCAGGGTAGCGACGATATGTCAGCTTTTGAAACCCCATTGTTGACCGTTGCTCACTCGTGTTCTGTGGTCAAGGTACAATTTTGGTACCACACACATACAGTGTATTACAATGATATTACAGATATGGGAGCTTATGTCAACATGGATGGGTCAAAAAGGAATATATTATATTTGTGGAAGATATCGAGAGACGAATGGATTATGTTTGAAGCGATTTTCAATGCTACTGCCGATTTCAAGGTAATGTTCCGGGATGCACTTTCTGGGTATCTGTGTGAGTACGTTTTTTTGCGTAGATAATAATGGTGGGCCAAAGGGAGGTCACAGCGGATACATGCTTTGCTCTTGCCTTACCTATTAAGGTACCCTTCCACCCTCACCCCCACCACCCCCACCACCACCACCACCCCACCCCCCAAAAAAGATAAAAAAAGTAATAGTATAACGAAAAAAAAAAAGACAAAACAGCATGATAATGCTACTCCATGCCAGGTACAAAAATGTACAGCCAATGCAACAGTAGGGTGGTCATGTGTGAACCAGATCCAGACTTCCCAATGATCAGAAAATTGTGAGCAATTGGCGCGCGCCACTTGCGCTGCGCTAGATGCTCGGTCTCCTCAGCTCCCCGCAAACGATGCGCTCTTTGCTCAGCAGAGATGCCTCCCCGCCTGCCCCTATCGGACGCATCGCAAACTGTGGGATCATGTGATTAAGGAAACATTACATATTTATTTTTTTTCTGAAAGTAATGGCAAATGGTGACCACGTTAATCAATCAGACTAACTATAACTAATCACATGATCCCACAGTTCGCGGTGCGTCCGATAGGGGCAGGCCGGGAGGCATCTCTGCTGAGCAAAGACAGGCCTAACCAACTACCAGACTCGGCACCTACGGATCCAGAATAAACCGGTATATCAGACCACACTACCCGTTTTCAAGGTGTGTGTCAGATCGCATTACAGAGTATCAGCCACCACACCGATTTTGCCTGGTGCGCGATGTGATAG